TCAAAAAAGTACTCCAGAGTGTTGTTCAGCATGGGGGTGAGTAGAAAATGAAGGCTAATCATGTTTTGGGTGTACTATTCCTTTAAGGGCCATCGCAAACCATGAAGTGGGTAGGCTGGATCAGTGCAGGCTCGCAGGAATTTGGCAGCAGGTTTAATAGCAAACCAGTGGCAGAAGAATCATGTGAATTCTAATGTAATTTCCACTGATTTGTTGCATCTTCATCACACTGACAGAAAATTAGGACAAAGAAAAAAAAGACAGTAATTTCTATTTATGTTAACCTGCGGCCACAGAGATACAGCCACACACATGCAGCTCCACTGTGATGCCATAGGAACCAGTGCTTTCTGTTGGAGAGAAGACGGCCCTCCCAGTCATGTTTATACCCCCCCACGTACAATCCAGATGCCTTCCACAGCTGTGAGTTGGACTTGATTAAACGTGACACTTGATAGTTGAGGGATAGTGCTTAGCGGGCAGCTTGGGGTTCAGTCATCATGTTCTTGCTTTTCCTCTTAAGTCTACTCACTAAAGATTATGATGGTTCACTCTGGCCCAGGGAGTGAGCTAGTAACCGCTCTCCATTGCTGAACCGCCCATGGTACCATGAGGTTGAGATCATTTGTACTTTTCATGACGTAAAATCGTGATTTTGATTTGTTTTTATACTGTTTAGTGTAATTATCTGACATTTCATGGAAGTAATTTTGTGCATGTTTTAATGTTAGCTTCTGCTTTTCTATAAAGTTTCTGCTGAATGTTGTAGTGATATGTTTAAAGGATCCCATTTGTTTCAGTAGTAACCTGTGGCCAAAATAATGGCCTGCTAAGTTTGATCAGTCTCCATTGCTTTCATCCACCTCCCACCACCCCCTGCTGTGACCACAAGTTGCTTAAGGCCCCTATGTCCTAGCATCTTGGTTGATCTTCTGCTACCAACCTCCTATAATGTGTGATGTATAACTTTTTGTCTGAGCAGCTAGCATCTTGTGGCTAAAAGCTAGCTTCTGTCTGTTTGCTTTTAGTTCTTCTCCCTCTCCAGGTGATTCCTGTTGATCAGACACTGACCCATAACCATCATGGTTACATGCATCTTGTTTTAAATTCTAGCTTGACCAAGGACGATTCATTGATGGAATAGAGCTAAACGCCTGATATTTTAACTGTCTATGCACAACTACTACAAAGACTCATCAGCTCAGTTTGCTCCCCTTTTAGTTTTCTCCTTATAGTATTTTGTGGTTGAATATTACACATTGTTGAAGGATGCAGGATTCTTTCAGACTGCTAGCTGAGACTGGTCTGCTACTAAAGGAGGAGCCTCATGGAACATACTAAGACCCCCTATTGAGCATGCCCCCTTGTTTTCTTTCCCCATGGATCCACAGGGGCCAGTTTAGGAGAGTAATCGTATGCTTCAATCTCTACTCCACTAGGTGGCAGCAAAACAAGCTGTTTGCACCCTCTCCGAGTTTCATAAGAGAAAACTGGCCCTGCAGAGACTGAATCGAAGCAGCCTGTCTTCCATGAGGCCCACGGATGGCACCTTCAACTAGGAAATGCTAACAGATCGCATGCTGAAAACATGCTTAATTGCTATATGCTAACATGTTTTGTGTCTTGTTCATTGTGACAAACTTTATTTAAATTGTTTAAACACTGATATGATTGTGTTTTATATCTTATTGTTATGTGATTGATAAAATTGACCAAATATTCCTTTGAAATATTCCTCATGTTTGCTATTAGCTTTTGTCCAAAAAAACGTAGCTGAACCCTTTGCCATGAGGGTTCTGGACCAGTTCTCAATCCCTGTTGAATGATCACATATTAAGAATAAATTAGCTCAATGGTTTTGATTTCAGCTTTGAAAAGTAATATAAAAAAAATGTTTCTTTTTAAACCTCTTGAATTTGCATTGCTATGTGGTTTAAACACATTTCACTTGTTCTAAAATTGTTTAAAAGTTAATTTGAACTTTTTTCAAAATACGTTCTGATTCTCGAATATAAAATTCATACTGAATTCTGATGTGATTGCATCTCTTTATCTGTAATGGTTTTAGCCATTTTCATTTGTCTTTTACTTTATTATTATTATTTTATTTAATTTTTTGTACATGGTAGCTATGTAGTTTAGTTGAGTTTCACTAGCTTAACTAACAAATGTTTTTTTGAGACTTTTAATTGTTTTTTGTTAATAAATTCTTATATCTTCAATGGAAGTTGATGTCATTGTTTTTCATACATGTGCAATCATGCTTTCATCTGTTGTCCTAACACAAAGCCAGTTTAACTAATGTTCACAGAACAAGATATGACGATGCAGAAATTATTTGATCAGAATAGAAACTTTGAATAACAAAAAATATATATATATTGCACAACAGTATTATGGTGTCCAGTGGGAGATCATAATTAACTTGTAACGGCAAATTGGGTTTTATGAATTTCAACACATAAAGAAATGTCTGTTTATTTTATGTCCAAGAGAAAAGTATAGAATTGAATTTGTTATATGCAGCAGAACCTATTAAAATAAAGACTGGTAAGCTATTAGTTCAACAAATCAGTGTCCAGATCAATTAGAGATATGAACAGATAACTTCTGATCATATATTGATAAGTAATAAATGTGTTGTCAATCCTGCATTGATATATAAGACATTAAGAATATTCTAAATGTAACCTATTCTGAATGCTTACAGTCCATCTGTTAATTTAAAATTTTACTGTTGGGGGGAAAAAAAAACAAGACCCTTAAAATGTAGCATCCTGTAGAAATAACCCTTTCCTCTTTTTTAAAGTTTAGTGGCTGTAAAACATCAGATGCATTATGGTCCTTTGTTGTTCATAAAACAATGTGGTATTAACCTTGATGTAATGTTTGATGTAAATATATCCTCAACTCCAGGGAAAATAGCTACAGTACTGCTGTAGGTAAGAAGACCCATTCTAACTAAACTAAACCTTAGTCTGGTTTAAAAAAACAAACTTCTAAAACAAAAAGTCAAATTGTAGACTTGTTTCCTTTTTTTTTTCTTCAACCAGTTAAATTTCACAGTAAATTCCTATATGTATGTATATATATATATAT